CGCACACACACAGTAGTACATAAATTTCATACAACTACTTGAAAAGAGAGGCCAACAGAAATGCAACAACTAAGTTTAAATTATGTTCAATTCTTATGTGTACATAAAGACTGCGCGTAGAGTTTCTGGTCTCAGATGGAGAGGGCCCTGAGGCTGGCATGTATGACTGATTCTGTGAAGTCGCTGGGTAAGTTAGGTTGGAAGGGACCTCAGGATGGTGACTCCATGACCCTTCTGGGCAGTGTGTTCCTTCCAGTTGTTAACCATCTAACTCCATCCCTGCATACCCACAACACTTCTGTACCTACTGTGCAGCTCACCCCCACTTTGACCTCCATACACTTCCTTTTTCTCATTTGAACCCAGGTTGGAGTTTCCCATTCAGCCAAACTGTCCTCCTGCTTTGTCCACCCACTTTCCTGTGCCTGTGCTTTCAGGAGGCTGGCCTTGAAGACTGATGAGCTCCGTGTGGCCCCTGCAGGGCACCCTCCCATGAGATGCTGCCTGCTAGCTCTCTGAACAAGCTGGAGTTCAGAGATTTTACTCTGCCATTGCTGCTGCTTCTCTCTGCTGCTTCTCCTAGCTGCCACATGAGACTACATCCATTTGCTTTCAGATTGTAAAGGTGGCATAAGCTTCTTCCTTATTTTTCAAAGTGTTTGTTTGCTTCAAGAAAAGAAAAAGACGATGAATCATTTGACATTTTTATGTGTGACTATGCCACATGTGCTTATGAACTGGCAAAGAAGTGGCCCTCCAGAGCCAGAAAGAAATTCTTGGTTCTTCTTGAGACAAGATTACGGGTGCTTGTTTTTGTATGAATGCTTTTTTTTTTTTTAACCTGCCTATGGATTTCTAACACCCTGAGATCTGCCAAGAGATGTGCTCTGACCCATTCACTGAGTTATAATAATCCCCAACGGTACTCCTCTAAAAATTAGGGTGTGTCACCTTTGAAGGGTCCTTACAAAAATTTCTCCGTATGCACAACTCTACTCATCTCTGGGTTTGAGGATACATTTTAAATAAAAGGAGAATCAGGCAATAAACAAATGTACCTGGCTGAAATTGGCAAAGATAAAATAGGCATTTTGTCAAATACCACTTATTTGAAACTTATCTAAGTGACTGGTAAAGCTTTTAAGACATACTCAGTATTTCAGCTACTTACAGAAACATTGACTGCATATTAGAAAAGCTTTCCTAACCTGGTTCCCCGACATAGCACAGTTATCTGCATGCATTCCCTGGGCGGTTCTTCAAAGGGTGAGTTTCCAAGAGTTTCTCCATTCCTGGTAGAATCTGAAGCCACTGAAGATACCCTGATGAAGATAGCTGGCCGAATCGTGTCAGAAACTGATGCAGCTTAACTGACTCTGACTTCTGCAGAGCTACATTCACTTGCAAGGGAAGTAAGCTCTGATCCCTGAGATAAAAGCAAAATGTCAGGGAGGGAAGATCAGAGATACGTTTCAGACATTTCTGCTGAGGAGAATCAGTTATTTCAACTCTCCACTTTAAACTTGAACTGAGTAATGTTCTTGTCTACATTGCGGGTTTTCCATGGAGATCTCCCAGTTTTTTTGAAGGAATAACCAGGCTTGAGAGTGAATGGTCAAAGGTGGTGTTACAACATGTCAAAACCCTTTTTTTTCACATTATAAATTCAGCTGCCTCGGAGGAAACCACCTCATGCCTTGGAGCATTTTAGGACAAACATTAATAATAACAAATTCTAATTGGTCGTTATTGCTTGAACAGAAAATATCAGATTTCATTTTCACCAGGAGGAAATGAAAATGTCATGTACTGTAATATGACAGGCATGGAATTTACAGTAGTGATATGTACTTGTAATTACCTTTATATGTGTAAATGCACACAAAGCAGAACACCAGGGAGGCCGTTTTACAACAGATTTAATCAAGAGAACATCTACGTCTCCTCATAAACTTACTCAACCAACTTTGAAAAAAGAATGGAGTTGATTAGACAGGTTAATGGGGTGATGTCTTTATAAATGACAGATGGCCATGTTAGAACAGAAAGTTGTTCACTCTCCATTTTTTATTTTATTTTACTTATGAGAGTATTTTACTATTTTTTTTTCTTTTTACTTATGAAAGCATTGCTCATACATTTTTGATTAGCAATGGTTCACTGAAAAAAAAGCAATTTCCAGTGAAACTGAACTTTTAACTGGATGGATGTTATAACCACGCTTAAGTGGCAATAATCAAAACTAAAATACAAAATGAATTTTATGGAATTCCGGGTCCTTATAAACATCCTGACCTCCCCACACTGGGTTGCAAATGGCAAAAAGTGCTTACAGATTTGCAAGCTCATAAGAACATAACAAAGAAATGGGAACATGAAGAAGAAAGTTAACTTTTTTATGATAAAGGAAACCCATTAGTGATGAATTTGACAGAGTAATTAAAAAAAATAGAAGTTAAAAAGACAAGAGTCTTAATTAAGAATAATGAAAAGTATTACTAGTGCCGCATTAGCTACACTTGGAAAAAAAATCCACCTTGGGCATAATGATTTTCCCTCAGAACTACCTAAGTTTTAGAATTTGGGGTAGCCTACATTGTTCATCTCCTCTCAGACATATGAGGTATCTGGAAGCGGATCCAGATACCAGAGTTAACTGAAGGGGGGCTTATAAGACCTCTGGTAGAGTGCTGTGGAGACCCTGGCCAGGTCTAAGGAGAATTGCGGTGCCTGAAGTAATTCTTGAAAGCCACCATTGCAGCAGCAGCTCCTGGCTCTTTTCTGGGCGTTAGGGCACTCAGTGACGGTCCTTGTACCACTGCTGGCATGTGTGACAGCTCGTGAAGCTCTGATCTAAAGATTTCCCGTGCCTACTCAGCTGTTAGATAATCAAAGCTGCATGATTATTTCTGCAACAGTCTCCCATTTCTCCTCTTCTCTCACATGAGAAATGACCATTCCTAAATGGAGCAGAAATAAAGAAAATAGGATATGCACTGCTAAGCCCCTACTCTTTTTTTTTTTTTTTCTTTTCTTCTCTTCCAGGCTTTGATTGTACCACTATCTCCTTTGGCATTTGTCAGTGTTCTGCAGCTCCTTCATCTGATGCAGACCCTTGATTAAAACAATCCTATTGAATATCGCTCTAGCCTCCAGACATGAATTTGAAAAAAAAAAAAAAAAGCACAAGGTCTGTGAGGAATGTTTTCTGTAGAAAATGTTTTCTGTAGATTTCTGTATGAATTTAAGATTTATGAAAAGCACTAAACTAAATTTTGAAAAACACTCCGGATCTTCAGGGTCTTTTTTAATTTCCCATGACTGTAATGCTAGTGCAGTGAAACTATCTATACGTACATACATGAAACTCTGCAGTTTCTCTCTCTGAACCTCTGCAGAATTCTGCAGCTGACACTAATGGAAGACAAGCTGACATAGTCAGGACAATGTGGCTGCAGCATATCAGAGAGTCTGGCTCAGAATTTTTGTGAGTTTTCTGAGTGCTAGCATATCACAGATTTAATTTCACTTATCTGCACAGATGCAAATCAATAGTTTCCATACTGGTGGCTAATCCTCATTAACAGAAATGGATCAGTTTATCTCTTAGGTTTGTGATTAGGTGGCTGGCAGCTGCAGATATATTGTTTTACCTTTCACTAGTAACATTATAATAAACAGGTTGGAGTGATAATTTTACAACATATTTAAGTCACTATGCAACTCAATCAACTTGTCCCACAGCTCACCCCTTATTAACATAGAGAAAACGAATTTCACACACGGTATTCATCTAGGTAATAGCCGTGACTGGCTTTGTGTACTGCATTGGCATTTCCAACAGGCTAATTGCAATAACGTCAGTAAAATCACTTATCAATGTGTTACCATCTGGTCAAGTGTTACCAAGCCAAAATGGACATAATGAAGTGGAGATTGTTTAGATCTACCCTCGCTCAATTAATTTCTTAAGTTCAAACAAAATTTAACCATGTACTAATACCATAGCCAACCCCTGCAGCTAGATTACAGATTTTCTCCAGAGCTCCTGTTTTCCCCAGGGTTAGCTCGATGCTCACAGCATTTTGCATTTTGCACAATTTTTAAGGCCGTAGATGGTGATAACTGCATCAGCAGTGGATCTCTGGTTTCATAAATGTAGTGAAGATACAATGAATGGGACTAATATAGAAAGGATTATGTGAAAGATTTGTATCTTCAGGAAAGACAGGGGACTTCCACACTGCCTGATGCTTAACAATAAGCAACTGTTTTTCAGAACCTGGCTGCTTTGCAAGGTGGTCTGTTTAAGTGCCTTGAAAGGCAAAATAGCACGGCTAATCTATTCAGACAATCCTCAATCACTTTAGCTTACAGTGATTTCATTAAGTAAATACATAGAAGAATTTTCCTCAGTACATGGCTATTATAACATTCTAATGAAAGAGACTGCATTTTGGGAGAGCCTGGTAAATGCTACAGTTTAAAAAAAAAAATCTTATTTCTGCTTGCATTCCATTCCTAAAACTCACTGATTCTCTTGATTCTTTACTGCTCTGTATCGACTATCTCCCTCTACACCTTCCCCTTGCCATTGATCCTTGCTTCTAATGCAACAATCTCTTAGTCTGCATTCCTTTTGCTTTCTGCTGTCCCCTGTTTAATTTGCCTCACTATTTTGAAACAGTTCCTCTCCTTTCCAAAACATGAAGACTGCCTCCTCTTTGTTTTCCTGCTTATCCTCCTACATACACCACTATGAAGTTTTCTCCCTCCAACAGAGCCTCCTCCTTATGAATCCTACACATGCATCTCTTCAGAGGGAGCTATGTTAAAAAGAAAATGAGATGATAAAAAATTAAAAGTAGTTATAATGTAAAAGTTTAACACGAGCCAAAGCTAACATAACATCCAAAATATATTAAAATTATTTAAAAAGAATTAAAACAAAGAGAGCACAAACTCTCAGAGAGTAGGCCCCCCCCCCCTTTTTTTTTTCTTTTTTTTGGTATCCACTAGTTGTTGTGCTGTCTCAGAGAAACAATGACTTAGCAGAAATCCTCAGGCTTGTCTGTTCCCATGTTTTTTACCTCAGAGTGTTGCTATCCGCAGAAATACTAAAAGCCAGAGGGAGATTATATAGCTTATGTGTTCATCACAGTAACATCTCTAATCTTTGTTGTTATAACGCTACAATAGAGCCAAATGACCGAAGCATCACACCACATACCAATAGTGAGCTGTTTCCATAATAATCATGATGTTTCAAGTTTAATTTTGTGATTTATCCCCTTCTGTGATGTGTCACAGGCCTGTAACTGCATTCACCTCGCAAGTCTTAATCCAGCTCCTGTGAGAAGTGATTTGTAGGGGATTTCAAAACATCCTCTGAGATCACATTGGAGTTTTACGCAGAAAACCTCTCATAATCCCCCTCAAAACTGTAACATGGAACTATTTCTAGGTCTTTTGTTTCATTTGGGCTCCGTGTTTGACTCTTGCCTTTTAAGCAGCAAGCCTGGGTTTAGCTGGGGAGTTTGAACGCATGAGAGAAGTGACCCTGTAGTGCGAGCCAGGTGCTACTAAATGGGTGGGTGGGCACGGCTCCTGCTGGGCTGGGAGCAGCTGCCCCCCAGGCTCATGGAACAGCACAGCAAGGCAGCAAGCACAGGCTCAACAAGCACAGACTCAAGGCTGTCTCCCTCTGGCACACCATTCAAGCATACAGCTATCTGTTCTGATAAATGTGCCATAGAAACTCAAGTTTCAGTGTGTAGGGCCTTAGCAAAGAAAAACAGCTTGTAGTACTCTCTGTATGCTAATGTTTTACATGGGTGTATTAGTTTTGCTCAAACTAATAGCATGTAGGGTCTACCACCACGGCAGAAGACAACGTAAACATCTACAATACTGCCAGAGATCGGGTTCTTTCACAACAACAAATACATCTTTTAGCACAAAAATAAAAATAAAAATAAAAATAGTAAGGGTGCATAACTCAAAAGGAAAAGTAAGGCGTACTCATTAAGAGTACAATACACAAGTATACAATGAGTTGTTTTGTAAGTTTCTTTAGAATTTACTCTGGTAAAAGTTCGCATTTCCTTTGAGGGAGATGAGGTATTTCCTGACACAGCTTGGATATTGTAAGAAATTACACTGACATTCTGAAGATCCTTTCCAAGCTAAAGGAAAGAGAAATAAGCTAAAGCAGTTTCTTTAGCTCATCATCAGCATAATTTCCTGAGAAAATGGATTTTTTTTCTAATACTACTAGATGAGACATTAAGAATTCATTCATTAATTCAGTGCTATTTAAAAACAACGATAGCAGCAATCCGCCAATCAAGAAAAGTGAAGATATACTAATAAAGCTTCTAAACAAAAGTGAATAAAATTCACCATTTAAAAAATTACACTAAAAAATGTAAAATTCTACATTATAAAAATGCATTAAAATAAAAACAAAACATTTAATGCATACTGCAAAAAAACTTCACACCTAACCAAAAGAAAACTTCCTCTTTTGGCAACGCTAATCTTTATTTTGGGATTACATTGCACTCTTGAAGTATTATGTTCTCTGTAAAAACAGAGAGGACCTCTCATTTAAGGTCAACGGGATTTATAAGCAGCTTTTTTATTTGGATTTTTACTTCTAGCCAAGGATTTTTAAAGCAGTTCTTAATGCTTAAGATCAAGAAGCATTTTGTCATAAAAAGTTATAAAATGAAGCATTTTTTCTTCTCCTTCTTTTTGCTTAAAGGCAGAGTATTTTATTCCAGCATACTCTAGCTGCCAAAAGTTACTCTTGCTACAGATGCAGCTGGCAGCGGGTCCAGTTCTTAGCTGCTATGTTTAATTTCCCATGTTAGGTATTTCTGCACACTGAAAAGATCCCCTACGAGCCTTCTCTTCTCTGGATGGAATGGTTCCAGCTCTCTCAGCCTCTCCTGGTGTGTCAGGTGCTCCAGTCCCGCCATCATCCTTGCAGCACATCGCAGGCCCCACTCCAGCATGTCCATGCTTCTCCCACGCTGTGGAGCCCAGGATGGGATGCGACATCCCAGGTATGGTCTGATCAGTGCTGAACAGAGGGTTCAGAAGCTTTAAGCAGAGCTTCGAAACCAGTACACGTGATAGTACTTTCCGGTGTGATTTAAACATTTTACAGGAAGGATATTTTTCTTAAGTTTAGACAGTTTAGTGGTACTTTCCATAAAATCTTACCGAGTTCATTCCCAGTCTGTGGTTTAAATTAATTTTTAATCCACGCTTTGTGATTTTCTTTTGAGGTTGTCAGGGTTAGAGAAACCTTTATATCATTTTTTTAATTTCCTTAGCTTGACACTTCAAATTTGATTGTGGAAGGTAGAACAAGCGTTTTAAGATTTTAGGATTTTAGACTTGTAACCATACTTGCGAAGCCTAGGGAGAAGGATTAAGACAGGGGTTAGTCCCAGTTTTGTTGGGAGGTATTCTTTAAATATTTCTCAGATATACTTTCAATGAGTTTTACCTAATGTAGCCAATTTCCCTAAATCCTGGGTGGAGGGCTTTTGACAACTACCCTGGTAGTTTGAACCGGACCAAATGGAGAACAGATCACCTAAAGAATTATCATTGTTTTATCTGGATGAAAAAAATCTAATCAAAACAATTTTCTTTGGAACCCTAAACTGGCAGCCAGCTGAACTTTACCTGCCTTGACTGATGCACATACCCCACTGCCTTTAACAATCAAGGCCAGTCAAGCAGTATTTATTTATCTGCACAAAAATATAGTAAGATCTGACAGGATTCAACATGACACTTGTTGTCCTCATTGGCAAACTGGATTTGCTGGCTATTGGTGTATGCAGTTTGGACAAAAACATCTGAAATCCATTAAGATAGATTTTACCAATTCATTTTCTTTTATTTATTTATTTTTTCTAAAGTGACTTTAAAACAGAAAAAGAAAGCAGAAAAAGATTAACAACAAATGTTGCATTCTACACAGATAACAGGAAAAGCAATAAATAGAATTGATTCTCCAAACAATTTTACACGTTCTTTCATTTCTGCTTTTGCCTGGTAATAGATGGCCTGATGAAGATCTTAAAGATAGGAGGATACTTAAAAATGAGTAAGTAAAATTAGCATGTGAAAATGCGTACTTAGCCAATTTAAAATAAAAATAAAAATTATAACATAAATAAAAGTTATAACATATTCATCTACTTATCAAAGGCAAGGCAATACTTTCACAAACTACACAACTGGGAAACCAGAAAAGGAGGCATCGAGGAATTCTAAGATTAAAATGTCAAGAATATATAGCACGTGTATAACTGCGCAAGCTCACTGTAGCTTAATATGGACTGAAAGTGTCGGCATTACGATTATAAACACTTCTGAGTTTATCTGTGCAGATTCAGAGGAAGAAACTGCAGATGTTTGCAACCCAAGTTAGATATTATCATCTCTTCCTAATAATATATGTATGTAACTAAGGGAGACGGGGAAAGAAAGGGAAAAAAAGAGGAGATTGCTCCTTTGTTAATACTTGTAATTTCAAACAGGAGAGCAGCTATGGAATACTGTCATCTTAACATATATTATATGGATAAATGTAACCATATAATAAAACTATATAGAAAGGGAACTGAAGAAGCATTATAACAGAATTCCAGTGTATCTTTTTTTTTTTTTTTTTTTTGCCACTAAGCCACTGGAAATTTAATACCAACACACACATAGTAAGGCATTTCTACATCAAGCCACAGACCAATCCAAATATTATTAAATGATAACATATCCAGTTAGAATAATAGCTAATATTTATTAATCACAGTCTTCTTTGGTATGTTTTAGGAACATTGCACATCACTTTAGAAAGCCGTTTTCCAGAAGAATTGTGGATCAATTTTCTTTGTACTTTTTTTTTTTTTGTACACACAGTCAGGGAGACCTATATTCAAACTATTCTTTCCCAAACGTGGTATAACATCAAGAATAAGGAGCAATTTTTATTTCCCGGACAAAACAGTATTGGCCTCTTTGGAGTTTCATTAGAGTCAGAACTCAAAACACGGAAATTTCTGCCAATTTGAAGATTTATTTCTTTTCCCTCCATAGAATGAAACAAATGACAACTTTTTATATAACACACACATTTCTATATCTATCTGTCTATCTGCAAGTTATGCCTACAACTCTGAAACGATCCTGCCTTTGGAAACCTTTGATGCTGTCATGTTGCTGTGGCATGAATAAAAATCAAGTCAAATTAGAAAGCAAAAAATACACAGTATTTATAAGTATCTCTGGTATCAGCCAGAGCTACAACAGATTTATTTTTCTTTGGGAGGACTAGCATGCAAAGCACATTTCAACTTTGCTTAAAGAGTTTCTTAAGGAAAGGTGCTGGCAGTCACACTAAGAAAATAAACATTTGATGGTTATTTCCCTCCCAGTTCAGGACTGCAATCAGTGCTTACTGCATTCTAGAAAAGGTACTAGTGAATGTGATTCTGGCTGGAATATAACTTATGTCACAAAGGTATGCCCAGGGTTTGTTGTGGGTAGAACAGATATGGAGAGAGGAAACTATGCAGTCTAGTAACTAGCGTAATTTTACCAGAAATGTATATTTAGCCATATCTGTTTGGAAGATGTAGAAGCTATTGTCTATTTAGCATTTTAGGAAGTCACATCCTGCTTATATCTTTGCAGACAGTTTGTTGTCAGGCTGTCCATTGCCAGGATAGAGTCAGCATAACTTCCTTAATACTGCCAATGAGAACAGGTAAAGGTGCAAGTGAGTTATAAGTAGTTTTTACATTTCCCCATGAAATTACTATTAAATTTGCATTTTTGGGGGAAGAGATATGAAATATGCAGCCTGTACATTAATATATCCCATGTAGGTGCATACATACACTTACTTAAAAGGGACTGCCCGTTTTGTAATTTGTTTAGCTAGTAAAAGTTCAAAATACCATTTAAACAATGTGTACAACGAAAGCTCACAGTAATGTAGAAGAAAAGAAAGGATCCAAGCAACCATGAGGCGAATTATCATGCAACAAAGCAAAAAAATTTCAAGGAGAAATACAGAAATACATCTATAAAGATTTTGTTAGTGGCCAACTGTAAAAAAGCAAAGCAAAACAAACCCAAACCAAATTTATAAACAAACAGCAGTTGTATATATATTGCTCTTCTGACAAAGGGCATTATTATTTACACAACAGTGTTGCCATAGTGGTTATCAAGGCCTCAGTGTAATCCACCGTATGCACACATAACAAAGGGACATTTTTCTCTCAAAGAGCTTACAGCAACAGGTGAATTTAGAAAAAGAGAAAAAAAAAACCTTATGTTGGGAAGCATGAGGTAATAATAACATGATTATAAACAGTATCAGAAATTGCAATCTGAACACAGCAGCTGCATAGTCAGTGTTGAATAGACAGAGAAAACAAATTTGAGAGAGATGTTACAATGATCTTAAAAATGCTCAACTCATGTCTGTGCATTAGAAGTGAGTTTAACTACATTTTACTGGGGCAGTCAAGCAGCTGTCCAAATAGACAGCTTTAAAAAGAACTTGAAAAATGTTAACTTGTCAGCTTTCTCCTGACGTTATTCACATTTTTCAGATTACATGTATTTCCATACGGACCTTAAGAAGAATTGTAGTCACTGGAGCTCTTGAATTCACTTCAGTAAGATGAGGACTGAGTCCTAAAATTAATAAAAATAAATCAATAAATTTATAGAAATGGCTTTGAAATCTTCACAAATTAAATTGTTTTGCTTATCAGCATTTTGACTTCTAAAATAGCTGGACATTTGCTTTCCTTCCTATTCTGTCTCTGCCATATTTGCCCAGATACCACCACCTTTACACAGATGTGCTCGATCAGAAAGTGTGGCTGGGCACATGGAGGAATACCACACATTCTTACAGTCAGCACAACTGAAAGCCAAATGTTGTACCACCGGTACTGGATTATAGCACACTAGGACTTGGAAGTGTGCAAACTGCAACTTGCTTAAAGATGTTGCAGTGTGTGTTTGGTATAAAGCACACATTATACCAAGTATGTCACATAAAACCAAAAGAATTTATTAAGTATAATTAAGTAATTACAATTATTTTTGTAAGAATCACATTAAAATCACACAAAGACACAGATTTTTCTCCAAAATATTCATATCTATATTAGAAATGAACAAATACATGAAAAAAAAGAAAAACTTTTTTCAAAAAAGATATATATATATATATATATATACGTATCTCCCCTTGGTATTTTTCAAATGAAAACAGTAGTTAACAGAGAGACACGATGCTAATTAGATGAGTACCTGGCAATTTTCATAGGCTAGCAGTGTTTGTTTATCAGCAAAACAAAATTAGAAATAAGCATTTCCAAGTTTATTTTAGAGTAAGACTTTTCTAACACCTTACGTGGGGGCTGTTGTTGCTTAAAACGAATATGATGAGCATTACATTATCAGTGACTACCAGCTTCGGTTAGTATTACAGTTTTCTATAATCACTGTGGGCTGTGTATGTTTTTATTCCACCTAAGTATCGGGACTGGCAATGCTTGAATAAGAGTAATAAAGCAACTTCTTGGCAACCAAAGTTAATTACAAGTGTATACAGGTGTATTATCGTACTTGTATTGTCATGCATGTGAAATAACAAGGTAATATAAAAAGCATACTAACACAGTTGAATGAATTTATTTTTTCCTTAGAAGAATCAAAAAAAGAAAAAAAAGGAAATGTACTGTACTTCAGTGTGCTGCCAAGTTTTGTTGTTGTTTTCTCTACTAAAATATTCTGCTTTAATTCTATTCCTAGGTCAGATGAAGTGAATCCAGGTTCACCTACAAAACTTGACTCTTTATGTAGAAGAATGACAATTTTTGTATACAACACAGTGAATATCTGAGGAAAACAAAAAGACCTTTTAAGCTGCTCAAGCAAAAAATGCGTACAGTTTAAGACAACCATCTCAGGACTAACTCAGAAAGGAGCTGATAGTTATTCCACAAAGCCCACTTAAGACTCTACTGTTTAGTTTTATACAAAAGATGCTGCAATACCAGAGGAACGGACAGCAGAATTATCCCTGAAGCAGATCAGAGGGATGGTCTATGAGCTAACAGAATTACTGCGAGAAGCAAATCTTCTTTCTGCCGCAAAAACACGAATATAAAAATCAGCACTGGGAAAAGACAGGTGGCGAACTCTCAGGTCACTACAGAACCACAGACTCGTGTTATTAAGTATTAAGAAACCGTAATCCCAACGCTTTAACCCATGACTGAAGGTAATTTCGGTGGGAATGAGGAAACAGCCGCCGTGGCCCCGCTCAGAGCAGCAGTCCCGCTGACGTGCTGAGCTCAGGGCCACCTGAAGGCGCAGTGTGCTGCAGCAGCAGCCCCTCCCCGTAACTTTTCGCCCCACACCGCGCTGTCTCTCCCAGAAACACCTTTATTTACGGGGCCATCCTACCAGCTACCTCCTGACAGAACCCCCCCCTCAGCGCGGGGCTCCCCCCTCAGCCCGCCCTCCCGCCTAACGGCCGCCGCGCGCGCTCCCGCCGCTCACCTGCCCGCACCTGTGCGCGCCCCCGAGCGAGCCGCGCCCCCCCCCCCAAACCCCCTCCCACCCCCCCACGCCCCGGCGGTGTCGCCCCGCCCGCACCCGGCCGCGCAGGCGCAGGGCGCCGTGGGCCGGCAGCGCTCCGGGGGCCGCGCGCTGTCATGGCGGCGCGGGGCGGCAGGAAGCCGCGGCGCTGAGCGGGAGCGGGGCGGCTGCTGTGAGGCGGTGAGGAGCCGGCGGTGGGGGCTGCCCGCTGACAGCCCGAGCTCAGCCGCCGCTGCTGCTGCTGCTGCTGCTGCTGCTGCCGCCCGGGGGAGGCTCAGCCGCTTCTCTGCGGAGCCGGAGCTGGGCGCCGGGGCAGCCCCAGCTGGGTGAGTGCGGGCGGGGGGCGGCTGCACCTGCCCCGGGCGGCGGCTGAGGGGAGAGGGCGGGTGTAGTGGCGGGGGGGGGGGGGCGTAGGGAAATAAAATGTTAAATAAAATATTAAATAAAATATTAAATAAAATCAAATCAAAAGGCAGGGGGAGAGCTCTCCTCGGCGGCTGTCACGGCGCGGGGAGAGAGTAAGTGGTGGGGAATAACTCGGCTCGTCCCTCAGGGCCCGCGCTACCTGCGCCCACAGACGCCTCCTGTGAGGGGCAGCTCCTCTGAGGCGCCACCTGCCCCCGGACCTCCCCGCAGGGCTCCCCGGCCCTCCTGCCCGCCTCACCGAGCCCCCGCCCGCGTCCGGAGCCGCCTCAGGAGCCATGGCGAGCGGAGAGAAGCAAGTTGTGCAGCCAACAGGTGATGGTGGAGGAGGAGGAGCGGGGAGAGAAGGAAACGGCGCTGAAGGGGGAAGTGTGCTGCAGCCGCTCAACCCAGGAGTCCCCATCCGAGGCATCCGGATGAAATTCGCCGTGCTGACGGGGCTGGTGGAAGTCGGCGAGGTGTCCAACAGGGACATACTCGAAACGACGTTTAATCTGGTGAGTCGACTGCTGTTTCAACCGTGACGGAAAAGAACAGCATACGCCTGCAGAAGAATCCCTTGCTCTTTTGACGTGATTTTTCTGTCTTTAAATATCCATCTGCGTGTTTATGCTTTCACCTTACTACATTTCAGCTGGGTTCTTCTCACTTAAGAATTACAAAAGCTGAAGGTACAGCATACGAGCCTCTATATCCCCATTTAAACTTGAAGTAACTTTAACATCGGGCTTAATTTGCCTCAGAGAAATTGTTGCTCTAGCTAGAGTTGGTAAGTGTATTGTGATGTTTAAACATTCAACAGGTATACTCAACAAGAAAGTTAAATGTTGATGTAGTAACTCAAGCTGTCATCAGAACACATGTTGTTGTGTTCAGCCAAAACAACTTTTCCCATGAAGACATTGATGCCCCTTTTTGCTTTCTGTTTGCTTTGAACTTGGATGTTCTGCCCACAGGGAAGTGGGGCAGGAAGAAATTCGTTTACATGCTTTACTGACTTTGTTTATTGGGAAGAGTAGGACTTGATTTCAGTGCCCTCTTTTTTAATGACTTAGATAGTTTGATACTCTTTTTTAATACAGTAGAAATGTCTTTAATGCTTCAGATCTCACTAAAAATTGAGGGTACTACCTACTTATGTCTAAGCCACAAACGTAATATGTGCTGTTAAAGTCCTTGGGCTGCATTTAAAACTATTCGGCTACTTGTTAAAGATTGCTTACTGAAGGACACCAAACATTAGGAGAAACCGTCTTTATGTTTACAAAGGCACTTTGCTGTTATCAGAAGTCTCGAAAAATCTCTTAAAAATGATCATTGTTCCTCCTCCTTGTTTTTAGTGAGCACCTTTGACTTTAAAATAGCATGGCTTCTGACGAACCAGGAAGTGAGACCACGTAATAGTGCAAAGTGTAGTAGAAGGAAAGTTGATGCAAAAGGCACGTTGTTTTTTAAATGCAGTTGGATTTTCTGTTACTTTTTTAAAGAATACTTTTTTTAGTAGTGTTCTGTAAGTTACATGTAGGTTTTAGTGGTCATTTAATACTTACATGTATGACATTCTCTGTTTTTTAATGTTATCTTCTTGGTTTATGATAAGTATGTTTTTAAAAAAATATTTACACAGTAACAAAGTATAATCCTGTAATTTGTTTGGCTGAAAGTCCAAACACAGTGGAATTGTAGTACTAGCAAATATGAAGGAGAGTAGACATTATGTGGATGCCTTGCATAGGAGCAGGTGATTGAAGTTGCTTAGAGTGCACTTGACAATTGTTTTTAACAAAACCCAGTGCTCAGATATGTGAACGAGAGGTTCAAAAGGAAATTCTGGCAAATAGTTTATGATTTAGGGCACATGTAGGGGCGGGGAGAACTCTTTCATGAGCATGTTCAATTTTACTTTTTCTAGCATGCTCTTTTGAGAGGGTGTACTGGAAGTGTACTTTTTGCAGCAGTGGGAAGAGGTTCAGCAAGACGGTAAATTTAAAAGCTTGTTCATTTTGGGACTCTTTTTCTACTCTGTTTTGGACAAGAGATAAACTAAAATTTAGAGAATCATTGATTTTAGATTTAAGAGGACTGGAGAATTTGACATGTAGGCTTTATTCTTCTGGATCTTCTTAACCCGTTTAGAAGCTAGGGAGAGTTTCTGGCCCTGGAGATTCTTGAGATGAAGTCTTTTTCACTTGATGTCCAAGTGGTACAACATGCCTGACCTCTGTCTGAGAAGATTCTCCAGCCATTCCAGCACACCTGCTTGTGATTTGGGAGGCTAAAGTTCAAGCCTCTGCACCACTTTTTATTGTTAGAGCAAAACCACTCATTCGATACCTATCATAAAGCAACTAATAATTTGGCAGTAAGGGTGCTTTACGGGCATTATATAACAATGCAATACATTTTTTTTGGGTAGTGTCAGAAAAAGTAGGTCCCTTGATTTTTCTGAGTCTCAGGTAAACAGATTAACTGCTGGTGACTTATTTGGAGGGAGAGGATCTCTTGGTATTTTGTGGTTTCATTGTAACTGGAATGCCAAAAAATCAAACCAGCCAACAATTTTTTGTAACAGATTTTGTTACAGGAAAGAATTTATTTTCTGGAGTTCTTTATTTATTTATTTAAGAAATAACTTTTAATCTGATTTTTTTTGGCTTTCTTGGATATGAGTGTAGCATAGAAGATGAAAATCTGAAACATCAGTGCCTCCCTGCAAAGCAGTACTTATCTGTCTGGTTGTGCCTCTGTTCAGTTGTTAGCTGCGACTTCTTTGTTTTGTCAATTAATACCTCCAAAATCACACTGATCAGAAACTGAGGCATGTGGGGCGTTGGTTGGCAGTGGTGTACTTTTTGGTGTGCATATGCACAAGTGAGCCATTTCTTCTGTGAAGCAGCGATTCTTGGTGATGGCTTTAATGACAACCTGTTTCCCTGTAGCTTTTCAAATGAATTTACTCTTGCGTATGCAGGTTCAGGGGGGTATGAAAATCATGCTGTGTTCTGCCATTGGTAATGGGGTTAAGCCCAAAATATCCTCTGCTATTGAGTTTCATTCAGTTCAGTGACTCATAACTGCACTAGCTCAGCGGTGTTAGCAGCTAGCTTCCTTCTTGTACTTTGAAAGGAGGTGATATACAGTATTTGGGGGATTTTTTGATCACTAAAGCAAGATGTCTTCAGACCAGACTAAAGGAAGGGCTGGGCAAATCTCAGTAGAAAGGTGTGACTGCATCCTTGCTTCTTACCTTACAGGGTGGTTTTGCTATGAAGAGTTTCTTTTTCACAATAAGGTTAGCTGACCTATTTTTTTTAACTACTTGAACAAACATGCTGCTCTTGGTTCTGTTCTTCAAGTTTGCTGAGCACATGCAGGCTACGGTGAATTCTTTCGTGTTTGATGGAGAATCCAGACAAACTCAAGGTGCTGCTGCTTTGATGTTCCTCGTCTTAAGGATTTACAGAATTGTCATGTTTTATATGTAGAAGACCCAAAAGGTCAAGAATTAGAAGTGCACAGTGATTGACTTGCTGCCTGTTAAAGAAATGTAAGCTCCTGTTGTCCCAATTACTTGAGCAAATAACTTGTTCGGTCCAGCAGTGTTGGATCTTGGAGCTGAGAGCCAACTATAACGCTTTCTCTGTCCAGCAGTATAACAGAGTGCTTCGTGAGCTTATGTCTGCCATGCATCAAAAAAATAGTAGCGTCGTTTTATTGTCTTTGGACATGTAACTCTTCAAACTTATTAGCTCTGTCAGTGTTCTCTGAGAACCTAGTTTTCCAGTTCACCTTAGATATGGCTTTGTATATTTTTCAGCATTTCTTCAAACTGAGGAAAAATGCTGAGCTGAAGGAAGCTTATTTTTCTATGACATAGCTTGGGAATGCATTCTTGTTCAAGCATTTATCTATCTATCTGATAGACACTAGGCTAAACGATGGGTATATATTGCTTGTTCCTTTTGCATTATGTTTTTAATTGACCATGATACTTATTTTTTTCTTTTGTTCCTCCTTAGCTTTTAAAAATAAAAGGGCTCCTGTAAGGAGAAGATGATAGAATGAAAAAAGAATTATTTACACAGAGATCTATTACAAACTTAAAATAACTCTGTGCTTTTTGTAGTAAAACAGAAAGAGAAGTTGACCTCTCCTTCTATTGAAGAAATTTTCAGAAAGAATAGTAGAAATAATTCAGCAATTGGTAAAACTTTATTATAATAATTATTTACTTAATGTTCTGTGGTGCCGGTATCAGTGAAGGCTTTTAGGATCTGAGGTTTTCAAGTTCAGAAAACTCTTTTCTAAGTCTGTTCTCCAGGCTATACAACCTGCGCTCGAAATACAGGAGGCCCTTCAGAATCTTTCCCAGGTCAAAATTCTGGATGGAGCTTCTGGTCGGCTCCATTCTCAGCAGGCTTGTCTTGCGTCATGTGTTGCTGTTATCTTGTTTCCAAGTTATTGCAAGTTTCTAGTTATATATAAAACTTAGGTCACCGCATATGCTTGTCTTTCAGTAGGTAAAAGACTGACTGACAAGTGTTCTGTTCGTAAGGAATGCTGTGTGCACAGGGGATAACTGTACTGAGCTTGCAGGAGGAAATAGATATTCTGGCAAAATTCTGCTTTGCTTCAAGCAGACGACTGTATGGCTGTTGTCTTTCTCTGGGGTGTTGGTGCAATTCAGTTTGGGGAGTTCATGCAAGAATTTGCTCAGGTCTCAAGCTGACTAGTGTCTAGGGACATCAGCTATTCCAGGCTTTCTGCTCTTTAAGGAAATGCCGTACCTTGGACTAAGCATTTTTCTTAAATAAGCTCTAGTGCTTTTAATTGTTTTGTTACCTATAATTTAGATTTTTTGTTTTGTTTTGTTTTTCTTCCTCCTCAGTCTGTGTTGCAAAGCTTGTTGCTTTTACTGCTTTATCCCTCTTCTCAGTGAGGAGCACGTGCTGCTGCTTCTGATTACATTCACGTGTTAGGAGGTTGTCACCAAGTTTCTCCCAGTGAGAATGTACGGAGGTTTTTCTTTCCTCCTCCAAAGGTGATTTCAAACTAACTGAATCTGTGGAGCAAAGACTAAAATTACTTCATAAACTTCATTTTGTCACCTCTCTCATTCTGCCAGACTTCACTAAAACCACAAACAAAATTTACCTTGAAGGTTTTTAAAATTCTTGCTGGTTACTTTCCATTTTTCTTTTTAAAGGTATTTTCTTCTGCAGCCCAGTTGGCTTGCTTTATAGAACAAATGAGATGGATGTGGGGACTAGCTCTTATTTGCCTTCTGCTGATGTGCTTTCTGCTGTTCTTTGTCATTTCTCCATTGCTGTTTTCTGCACTATAGTGTCTGTTTACCTG